CCGTTTTTTCAAGTGGCCGACAGTGGTTTTTCACGTTTTTTACCTGCCGGACATGAAATTGAAAAAAATCCGGAAAATTTGCCCCGTAGGAAAGGCGCCCGCTGCCGTGGCNTAGGTTTCTCNCTGCGCGGGAATTCATATTTTATTTTTTTTCAACGCCGTTTTTCGGGGTTTTAGGAATTTTTTTTGAATTTTTTCGCTGTAGTATTGGCAAAATACATAATTTGAAACATTTTAAGGCTATAAAAATTTTCTGGTCGGAGTCCCCTTTTAATTTCCACTTTTTTGTCTAAAAATCCGATTTTTGGGAAATTTTGAGCTTCAAAAAAAGCTAAATTTCAGTACTTCCCCCCCTCAAATACCCCTTTTTTGCAGAAACGGCAGTATCATCTACATAACATCATGTATGGGATACACCCCATCAATCGATATGGGTCTCTACTCGGTCGCCTCAAACAGTGTTCTCTCGTTAACAAAAGCAGTCGCCCAGTCGGCGGCGAAAAAAGGCGTTCGTGTGAATAGTGTGGTGTCTGGAATGGTCGAAGGAGACGGTTCGGGAGCTGTGTGGGACCAGACGAATGGGGAGGAAGCGAGACAAATCAAACAACATTTGGAGGCGATGATACCGTTGGGACGGTTGGGACGGCCAGCCGATGTTGCTAGTTATGTCGAGTTTTTGGCATCCACGCGATCAAGGTTGGTTTTAGATTCATTTAAAAAACTGAAATTTGCTTAAAAATGCTAAGTTTTCGCTAAAAAAATGACTATTTTTAGTACAAAAATCACAGATTTGAAAGCTAAAAACAGCTATTTTGACCGGAAAATTGCTGATTTTAATCCGAAAAATGACTTATTTTGAAGCGAAAAATAGCTAGTTTGACCTAAAACTAGCCGATTTTCAGTCCTAAATTGCGGAATTTTTTCCACCTTTTGACTGAAAATTTCCAATTTTGACATGAAAATGGCTGATTTTTTCGGCCTGAAAATTAGACTGGTTTCGGGTGAAAAATCGTTGATTTTGAGACTAAATATGACCTATTTTTTCCGAAAAATTACTTATTTTCAAGCAAAAAAGTCGAATTTTGACTTTAAAAAAGCTGATTCTTTAGTCAAAAAACGTCCAATTTTCCCCTGAAAAATGACGGTTTCAGAGCCGGAATCTCATTTTTATGCCTAAAAAATTACGAATTTTCAAAAAAAAAACGCCCATTCTAAAGTTAAGAATATCGATTTTTGGGGATCTAAAAATCTGAAATTAGCTGAAAATGGCTGATTTTTAGTCTAAAAATGTCCAAAATTTCCCGAAAATTGACTGATTTTGAAGCTAAAAATAATAAATTTTCGACTGGAAAACGTCTAAATTTAGACTGAAAATTAATGATTTTCAAGCTCAAAAATGGCTAGATTTGGCTGGAAAAAGGTTCATTTACAGTCTTAAAATATCGATTTTCAGGGCTAAAAATCGTGGATTTTAAAGGGGGACTCCGACCAAAAATTTTTATTGCATTAAAATGTGTTAAAAGTTATCTATTTTCCGAATATTATTGCGAAAAAATTCAAAAAAAATCCGAAATCCCCGAAAAACGGCGTTGAAAAGGAAGAAAATTCAAAAAAAGGTGCCGCCGGGGGACGAGGATTTTCAGTGAGAAACCTAGGCCACGGCAGCGGGCGCCTTTCCTATGTGGCAATTTTTTTGGATTTTTTTCAATTTCATGTCCGGCAGGTA